AGTGCCCATCAGCAGATGAGTGGATTAAAAAACTGTGGTACATCTACACAATGGAATACTATGCTGCTGTGAAAAGGAAGGAACTCCTACCATTTGCACCAGCATGGATTTAGCTGGAGAACATTATGCTAAGTGAAATAAGTCAATCAGAGAAAGATATATATCACATGCTCTCATTCATTTGTGGATTATAAGGAACAATATAAACAGATGAACAAAAACATGTAGAGACAGAGAAGCATCGATCAGATGCTCAAAACTCAGAGGGAAGGCAGGCGAGGGTGGGAGTGAGGGGGAAAGATCAACCGAAGGACTTGTATGCATGCATATAAGCATAAGTGATGGATGTGGACAACAGGGAGTGAGGGTGAGGGTAGGATTGGGGGGATGAGGGGACATTTGGGGGGATAAGGACACATTTGTAATAACTTAATTAATAAAGGGGGGAAAAATAAAAAAATAAAGGACCAGAAAGTTGAGAACCACTGCAAAAAAAAAAAGTATTACATATGTTCCCCTCTCCCCCCCACCCCCCGCAATGACCCCGTTCTAGCCCACTTCCTGCCCCAGGCCTTCACATTTTATTGTCTTTGTCAATGGGTTATAAATATATGCATATAAGTTCTTTGGTTGATCTCTTCCAATCCACCTACCCTCCCCCGCCTTCCCTCTGAGATTCAGCCGTCCGTTCCATGTTTCTATGTCTCTGTATCTATTTTGTTCATCAGTTTATTTTGTTCATTAGATTCCATATATGAGTACTCACAGATTTGTTTACCTCTGAAGCAGTGGTTCTCAACCTTGGCTGCACATTAGAATCTTTTTAAAATCCTGATTTCTGGGCACCTGGGGATCTTTTTAAAATCCTGATTTCTGGGACTCATCCTCTGGAAATTCTGTTTCTTTGTTACTAATGTTGTGGCCTCACCCCATAACAAAGAAACAGAATTTCCAGAGGATGAGACCCAGAAATCAGGATTTTAAAAAGATTCCCAGGTGATTCTAATGTGCAGCCAAGGTTGAGAACCACTGCTCTAAAGGTTAAAAGGCAAACTAAGGTTTTTAGAAAAATTTTACTTATAAAATTATAGAAATGAGCATAACGCCAAAAGGTTAGCCTAAAAAAATTATAGTGAACTTACTGAGACTATGGGGAAAAGTCTCAAACTTTAACCCTAGATCCTTTTTGCTTGTTCAGTTCCTGGCTGTCCATGCTTCTCTTCATGAGTCACTCAGCTGAGAACCACATCTTCCTTCCTCACAGCACCTTGCACATATCTCTGCTCTGCATCCCAGCCAGCAATTAAGAGCTCTGGCTTTCTTGCCCTCCACTGTCCCTAGGTAAGACTTTGCTTTCCAGGAATTCTTAGAGAGAGCTTTCTCCCAGACCTGCCCTGAGAATCCTGCTGCTCGTGGTAGTGATCTCTTCATCCTTTCATTAGCAACCCCTTGGCCATTCACCTCAGCTTAAATGGGAACCTGGCTTTTGCCTTCCATCCTCTCATTTGGGCTTGAAGCACCCCAAGTCCCCTCTTACTCTAGTCATTTGTACCCTAACCCTTGCCGATTGTGGCTTAATGCCAGTTTGTTCCTTTCTCCCCTACAGGAATCTGCATTTCTATCTGCCCCGGTTATATCATTTATGACTCTGAGAGGAAAAAAGGAGGGGAAGGGAATAGAAAAAGGAACCACTAGAAACAACAAAGATAAAAAGTTCCATCTGCCTCACATGTTTTGCCAAGAGCCAGAACTGCTCAGTGGCGTAGGTTTTAAATTCCATTCACTCAGACAGAATTTCCTCAAAAAGATCTCCAACTATAGCTTCTCTGTCTTGGCCTCAGGACTCTCTTACAAGCAGTGCCCCTCCGGGTTGAGGCCAAATACCCAGGACTGGCCAGTTCCTCTGGAGCTTGGGCATCAGCCAAGCTCAGAGGCCAAAGCGAATAGAAGAGGAAAGGGGCACAGATGGAGAAATCAAAGGGGCATTTCCCAGTTAAGACGTCAGCACTGCTTTTTTAAAAAGAGTCTTGTTTTTAAGATCCTGTTAATTCAAAATGTAAATTCTTGAGAAGCATGCTTTCCTTCCACCGGTGGCTCACTTTTTTTCTTTTTCTGCGTTTGCAGTATTAGTTAGGTTTTATTTTTCCATTGCACACAAGAAAGCTTAATGTTTGATATCAGTAAGGTAGTTATAAAACACAAGGCACTGAAGGAAATTAATTCTTCATTCTATGTCAGATGAGTAAATGGAACATGTTAAATCATAAGCCTATTCATCATTTTAGATACTTTCAAAATGATTTCCTTTTTATAGACTAATTTCATCACAAGTAGAAATATCTCAGGCTTATTTAGCATCTAGTTTAGCAGAGGGCAGTGTTTTCAAGCGGACAGGCCACTAGACTGAGAATCAGAAGTTCTAAATTCTAAGCCTTTTACTGATGTGAGGAACTCTGGGTAAGGTCTCGAACTCCTTATCTGAAAAATGTAGGAACTGAACCAGGAGCCTCTCAGTCTTTTTGTGGTTACAGTCTTTTCCCAGTTAATAATTTGAGATGCTGACAGTATAGTACCGTAAAGAGAAGAAACGCACTTGGATTCAAAAGATTCAGATTTTAATCTGAGTTTTGCCTTTGACTTTCTTTGTGACTTTGAGCATTTATCCTTTCCTGTTCCCTCATCTGAATAAAAAGGAATAGAACAGATGGTGTCTAAGGACATTCCCAGCTCTAAAATTTTACAACAAAGAAAAATGTCAGTGGTGCCTGTGCTGCCTCCCATTTGCATGTTTTACTCCAAATAGCCCGAGAAGCTGGAACACACACCCCTCCACGTGCACCTTAGTTCCCAAGGAAAAAAGCTGTCTTAAGAGCCTCTTCCCCTGTCTCCTAAGTACCTGAGGTCAGGCTCTGGAATCCAGCATGAACATTATTATTTCTAGGCTTCCTCCAACTGACCCCTGTTGATCATAAAGCAAAGACAACTAGTCTTTGCCTTCTGCTTATAAATATACTACTTAGGGGAAGAGTGACTTCTTAAAAGCAAAAACAACAACAGCAACAACAAAAACACTATTTGTCAAATAAACTTGCTTTTTAAATTTTCTTACATGAAAATCTGCTTAAACCTAAAATATTTGTGTTTATAATTTCTGGATTTCTCTTAAAATGCCCTAACTATTCAAGTAAAGTGTCTTTGCTACAAAAGGAAGTCAGAGCGACAGTCACGGGTGGTTTACAGAACAATTTCTGGTGTCTTTGCTTCATTTCAATATGTTGCCATGATTGGCCGTTGATAGTTACAAATAAGGAAGTTTTCAAGTCAGGGGATTTCTCAGTGGAAGTTCCCAGTTCAACACAAGGGAGAGCTCAGGGAGGCTTGGGCAGCATTCTAGAGCCTGTGTATAAAGCTTTCAGACTCTGTAACTGCCCACATCTTTAAAGAGCAATAGCCTGTGACGGAAGACTTGTAAGCTGAAGAAGAGGTGACCAAAAACTTCAGTCGTTCCTATTGATTCGCAACCTAAGCAAGGTGGCCAGGATGTCTTAAACTGAAGTGTGGCTGACTTGTTCTCCTCTTGCTTCTGCTAAGTGAGTAATTTATGACATGATTCAATAATACCTTTGTATTTATTGTCATAGTTAGAAATTTGACGTTTACAAAATAGGGTCCTTACCTAAAACTAAAGGATAATTTAAAATACTGTGATTTTTTTACACTTTTCCCAACATTTAAAATAAAATTGATGTCTACTTGAAATGATCTTTTTTTTTTTTTCGTTTATATCTGGAACATACACCTTCTCTGAGTGGTTTTTATAACAATGTTAGACTTAAAAGATATGTAGTTAGCATAAGTTAAGTTGCATATAGCTTACTAGGTTGAAAAGTACACTAATACTCTATATAGTCATGCTTCTTTTGGGTTAAAATTTTAAAGATCAATTCCGGTCTCATCCAGTGTATTCATTCAAACATTAACTAAAGTTTATATTTTTCCATTTTCTAAGAAATACATGTTAATGAATATATCTTTACAATAAAGTATTAACCTCATGGAAAACTTTCCATTTCCTATCTTAAAACATTTAAACTTACAAAATTAGATTTTCTTAATGATAAGCCTAGGAAATGTTAATAGTTCAAAAAGAGTAAACATCAGGAATCATTATCACTATTGTTATATTAATAGCTGCCATTTACTGAGTGTCTCCTGGAGGAAAACAATCACAAGATCTTCCAGTTCAAGGCAGAACCAGAGCTTAAACAAGATCTCATATCACTTTTTCCATGGCTCTCTGTTTCCACTGCCCTGCCTTCTTACAACATTAAAACAATATTTTGAGATGTCTTATCTGAACTGCAAAATGATGGGGGAGAAAGGAAGATGACCTAGCCAAGGGCCCAGAGCAGCCAAGTCATTCATTGAAGCTTAGAAGTTATTTCCAGGTCTCTCTTCTCTTCACTCATCCACCCCATTTTCTCCCTCCCTCCCGGGTGCACTTTTACCTGTTCACGTGCGCACACAGGTATCTGTCTCCAGGCAGGAGGGATGTGGGCTGTATATCAAGCCCAACCTGACTGAGGTTCCTGCTAGCAAGTGACCAGGGCCCTAAAGGAATGTCCGGTTACTTCTTTTAAACACTGTGACAATAAAAGAGATGGCCAACTGGAAGATTTAAAACAAACCTGTTAAATTCCTCCCAAAAAGTTCTGGTTGGGATTTCATAAAACATACACCTATTTGATGAAAAGAATCATTCTTACAGAGAGAACTTGCCTGTTCGCAAACATTCCTTCTCTCCATGTACTTAAGGCCTCAGAAAACATATAGGTCTTTGTTTATAGTAAACTGTATTTCAGCATGTTTTATTTTCTTTGTGTGGGGTGGTGATTTTAAAAAGTTCTTGATTTCATAATTTTATCTTGCATTTAGCCATTATGTCAATCCTTTATTCTAAATTATTTTAGGTAATTTACATGTGATGTCTACATAGAAAAAATATAACTTCATATCCTTTTTTTTTTCTTCTCACCACATTGTCCAGAACTTCTAGAACAGTGTTTAATAACAGAAGAGATAGCAGCCAACCTTGTCTCATTCTGATCTCAGTGGGAATTTCCCTAGTGGTTAACATTAAGAATGACGTTGGCTATTGGTTTGAAGTAAATAAGCTTGTTATAAAAACCAGATAACTACCAAATACATTTCTAACCCGAGTTTACTAAAGGTGTATCAAGACTTCATGTAAAACTATATTCAATGTCTTTTTTATATTATTAGAGACAACTGTATGGTTTCCTATATAGTTTTAAACTATATAGTACTGTGCTGTTACACAATACAATAATTTCATTTTTTAAAAAAATTCTGTGATATCAAAAATCATGTCCCCAGTAAAAAGGTAGATTTATAGTTTAAAGTATATATATTTTTTGCTCTGATGAAAATAATAAATTGATCAAAACCAACCAAACCAAACCTACCCATTTCCTCATTTTCTCTTCAATCCACACTTCTTAGATGCCTCTCCCCTATTATTTTGGCTTCACAATTTAGTTCACAACTCAAATTAACAGAAAAGAATGAAAACAATGTGTCACAGCCAAAAGCCCTCTCCAGGCAGAGCAACCAAATACTCAAAGAAAGCAGCTGTTCCTGCATTTTATGCAAAAAGCTTTCTCCCTATTATGACAGCGCCAGTTGCAGACCACAATTCAGTTACAACTGACAGTGGTATTCAAAATGTGTCCAAATTCTCAGATCTTACACCTATGTATGCTGAATAAGAAATGTCTGTAATTTACTGAGAAATTTTGCTTTCATATTCTTAAACGAAATTAATCTGTATTTTTTATTTTCTGATTAAAAAAAATACCAGTTTACCATGCTTTCAAAAAGTTTAATGGGCTTTATTTGCTCTTTGAAATGTTTAAAGAGCAAACCTGAACACTATTTATCCTTGGCACCCACTTTTGGTTGTTTTGTTCATGTGATTTTTTTTAATCAAATTTTTCAAATCTATTAGCATACATGATATTCTCTTGTACTTTTTAAAAATCATCTCTATAACTATGTGGATAACCCTTTTTCATTACTTATTTTGACCATTTTTGTTTTCTCTCTATTTTTTTTCCTGATTGGACATGTCAAAGAGTTAATCTGGATGTATTACTTTTATGGTTTTCATTTTTTTAAATAATTAGTTTTTTTATATTTATTAATATTTCTTAATGCTTTATTTTAGAATATTTCACTTTTACTTTTCTGTTCTTGCGTTGAATGATTAGTTCATTTATTTTTCTTTCTTTCTTGTTTTGTAATGAAAACATTTAAGGCTAGGAATTTTCTTTGAGTACCATTCTAACTATATCTCACTTTTATATGTCACTTTCACATGGCCATTATTTTATGTTTTTTTCGTTGTAGCTTTATTTCCTCTTTGATCCAAAAATTACTTAGAATAATAAAGGGTTTTTTTTAGTTAACAGGCTTTATTTTTTTTTAGAATAACTTTAGATTTAGAGAAAAATTGAGCAAACATTACAGAGTTTTCATATACCCCATCACACACAGTTTCTTCTATTATTAACAGCTTACATTAGTATGGTACATTTGTTACACTTAAGGAACCAATATTGATACATTTTTACTAACTCAGTCCATAGTTTATTCAGAATTCCTTAATTTTTCCTTTTTTCCCCCTTTAAAAAAAAATGAGGTAAAATTCACATCACATAAAATTATTTTGAATACTATTGGAAGTAGAATTATTTCCTTAATTTCATTTTTGTATTGTTCATTAATGATGCATAAAAGCACAACTGATTTTTGAGTGTTAATCTTATATTTAGCAACTTTGGTAAAATAATTTGTTCATTCTTATGGATTCTTTGGAATTTTTTAATACATAGGAACTAGATGCCTAGTGCACAAAATTTGTGCACGGGTGGGATCCCTAGGCCTGGCAGGCAATCAGAGCCAATTGAAGCCTTCTGGCTGCCAGCTGGGGCCTTCCTTCATTCTGCGACGCCCCCTGGTGGTCAGCGCATGTCATAACAAGCGAGTGAACTCCTGGTCTCCTGGTCGAACTCCATTTCATTTTGCATAATGTTCTCAAGAACCATCCATTCTGTCACAAATGGCAGAATTTCCTTTCTCATAGCTGAGTGATTTTCTATCTATCTATCTATCTATCATCTATCTATCATCTATCTGTCCTCCACATTTTCTTTTTTTATTTTTTTAATATATTTTTTATTGATTAAGATATTACATATGTGTCCCTGTCCCCACATCACCCTCCACCACCCCCCCCCCCCC